CTGTGAAAACCTCAAATCTTACAGAGACTGTTGTAATTTTCCGATCCATGTTGTGGTTCTCGGAGCAACCACGACACTCAATTAGACATGCCAGCTGTGGAGTGTACATTCCTTCACAGAAACAACAAAACGAAAATAAAAAAAACATTTAAAATGTATGCAGGGATTTAATACACACTTTTAAGTTTTCGTCACTTTATTGTATCCTAGGCAGCCAAGTGGCAGTGCACGAAAGTATAATTTCAACCACAGCCTTGTCCTTCTGTTAAAATACTCACTCACTGAGCCCGTAAAGCAGAACCTGCAATCGACACTGATTAACTAAATGTTTTCGAAAATCTTGAAGTTTGCATTTGTCCTAATAAATATCTTCCTTATTATTTTGTCAGTCGGTGTGTAGGTTTTGACGGTACGAAGTTACGAATTACAAGGAAGACTGAATTAAAGCACAGAGTTTGGAAACCAGTGAAGTCTTCTTTGAACGATGTTACTGTCGTTATGTATTCTGTTAAGATAACTTTTACAAACTGGATTACAAAGTTATACTCTTTGGAGTATAATGACAATTCAAAGGTGTTCTTCACGTCACATGACGTAGGTTATTGTTACACTAATTATCCAAGGTAACAATATGCTACAACAATAAATATACGTGATTCTTGCACTAACGTTGCGACCACGATGGTAGAATCACAGGGGTGTGTAGGCCTGGTTGCCATGGCGGAAGAGAGGGAGCCTTTGGGGCCAAAACCCCCATCGAAATAGACGTCCTGAGGAAGGGTCTGAGTGGCAAAGCCCCAGGAATTAATTCCGGTTTGGCGTAGGCGTTGAGGGCATTACCTGGATACGCAGTGAAGGCTCTTAGTCTTCGAAAGTTGTCCAAGCCCGTTGGTAGCAAACCCCTCCGCGGCAGACCAAATGCTCCTTACGCCTGGATTATCTAACCCGAGATTATGTAAGCAAAGGTATATCAAAACAGCGAAGGCTTACCAACAATAACTTATTCTTACGTTATTTCACGTCGCTTTACCAGCCGCAAAGGATTAACGATCAATAATGGTGAATAGGAAAGAATTTTGAAAGAGATGGTCCTGCCAGACTGCAAGATAGTGTAACCCACAAGTCGCCTTTTTGGGACTGAGGGTATCCACGAAAAGCTTTATTCAGAATGTACTCGCGATATTGTTGCGGCGAGTAGCAGCGTAACAACGTCTCTTTTCAAGACACTCAGCGTTCAGCAATTAGTGTCCTCTCAACTTGTCTGCTTCTGTTGCTGGGAGTTTATCTTCTTTCTCAGCGCCTTGTTGTCCCCTCCTACCTCTCCCGAGCACCTGCGCCTCGATGACAGTTTCATCACTTCCTCGAACCATCGCCCCCTTCACTACCCATCTCTCCCCGTGACTTCGTCTTTTCCTGTAATATTGTTCCATCTGCTGTGTTCAGGATGAACGCCGTGCTTCACCAAGCAATTCATCCTGTTTTCTTTATGGCTTATTCGACGACGTTACAAATATTCGTCCTTCAGTCTGCGAGAACTGTGTTAACTGAGGATGTATGAGAAGAACGTTTCTCCTGTACAGCAGAGTCATTCTTGAGAAGCTGGTAGTTATTCAGACGGTCAAGAAATTCTAATTATTTTTACAGAACCTGAAGTTTTTGACTAACTTTCTGTGTGAAACCCAAGGGTTTGTCCAAAGCCAGCCACCGGGTATGACCACGAGACATCCTCGCAACCCGTGTCACTAACATCCATCACAATTCTGCCTTCTCAAGGCATCGTCGGTCTGTCTGTTCCTCAAAAGATTTCTGCAATAAATTTCCGTGTGCATTTTACGTCTCTCCCATACGACCTACATAATTGTTATGGTGACTAAATCCAGACGGATGGAATTGCCGGTCACATATTCTACTCATCGCGGAAACAACAAGTTGATTTTGATTGTGTAATACTTGTAAGAAGCCATTTGGGACATTGACAATTTCTGTAGCCTACTATTTTGTAATCCAAGGTTGTCACAGCTATAATTAAGACGAGTCATTGTAATCATCTTTTACTCCATTGAAAGTTCATGTCTTATCTCCACAAATCAATTTATAAATATATAGTTTAATATTATCCCCTAAGTGTGTCGCCATGATTGCCCTATGTGCTGTTATCCCGTTTTTAATGGAATTAATTCAATTTGTAAAACTATTCATGTAATATGATGCATTTATCTTTCATTAATCTTTTAATTGATATAAAATTATTTTACTCCTTTGAACGAAGTGTATAAAATTGATGCTAAAAGAGAGATATTTATCCGTCTGTCTGTGAGACTACATGTTTTATCGAAGAAATTACAGGTCATATTTCGATTTGATATTAGCAGTTTGCATTAAAATGTATCAACTTAATTGGATTTTGTTTTTGTGAAGTCCAATATAACCCCTCACTCATATTAGACACAGATCAGCACTTAGGCTATAAGAAATATGTAAGGTTAAGTTGCCCCTAGTACTTAACTAATTTCCACTGTACGTTTGACGAAGTAGATGTAGTCAAAAGCTCGAAGAATTTTTGTCATCGACATGAAATGGATTTAACTGGATACCTTCACTCTCCGGTCACTGTACCGCCGAGTACACAACCACGGCAACCATGGGATAGCAGGCCAGTCTGGATGTTGAGACGAGGAGAGGAATTCTGCTCTGCCGGTGAATGAAGTCGCTGTCCTTCAGTCTAGCCATTGCAGAAACTGAGTTATAGCGGTTTAGACATTATAACATAAATAACAAAATATATATCAGTTCAGGATCTACAGTTTTTATTCACAAATTCTGTAAGCTATAGACTATACTTAGCGATAAGGAAAAATAATTCTGTATGATTTGAGGTTTTTACAGCGGTGAGTATGAAGATATCTGTTCTCTGGGTTGCTTCGCCGTGTAGTATGTTAGATGTTTAAAAACATTTCGGAGGTCATACTGCCTCCTTCATCAGGGCGATCGCCCTGACCTCCGAAACGTTGGTAAACATCTACCATGGTACACGGCGAAACAACCCAGAAGACAGAAATCTTCAAAAATAATTCTACTTCTGCTGTGTAAAATCCGTAGTGCGGTCAGATTTATGGCGATAGATCGAATGAACAGTACCAGTGACGTAAAGAACACATTTGGAAACGTGTTTATTTCCAACTAGAGTAAATTATACTCTCTCCTCCCTCACATTCATAACGGCACAGACTGTCGAATAAACAAAGGATTTATTCTTCATTGAATTTAAATGTAAGTAAATAAAAACAATCCACCGTTTGAATTCACAGCGTTTTATTTTGTTCAGTCGACTGATGATCGATATTTCTGCTGTATAAAATCCGTAGTGCGGTCAGATTTATGGCGATAGATCGAACGAACAGTACCAATGACGTAAAGAACACATTTGGAAAAGTGTTTATTCCCAACTAGAGTAAATTATACTCTCTCCTCCCTCACATTCATAACGGCACAGACTGTCGAATAAACAAAGGATTTATTCTTCATTGAATTTAAATGTAAGTAAATAAAAACAATCCACCGTTTGAATTCACAGCGTTTTATTTTGTTCAGTCGACTGATGATCGATATCTCAGTCGATAACGTAGGAAGCTACGGGATGGACGATCGGATTTCGATTTCCAGCATCGATAATTTCTTTGCATGCGCTACAACTGTGGGTCAAACCAGTTTCCTGTCGAACGTGTCCCAGTGATTGTTTATCAGTGGTTAAAGTGTCAGAAGCATGAACATAACCTACATCTACTGTTGTGTTTGGAAATAATATGTAATGCGTCATCTCCATTTCTTTGTACACTGTGGCGCATTGGAAACTTTTGCCTTTCTGTGCTAGTACAAACCGGGCAAAGCCTGCGTACAACAGATAGAAGTTCTGAGTCACGTATTTGCCAGAAGAGAACAAGCGAATTCGTGAGAATGGTGAATTGGAAGGGATGTACAAAGAAGCAGCCATGAAATCTTGTAAGGTAAGCCTGCAACCGTATACTTGTATTTAATTAACACCATGAATGAGAGTCTTTTCACAAAATCAAATAGTCGCTCAGATAGTCAAGAAATTTTATGAAGCCCAAATGTTCACTACCATACTCGAAGTAGTACAGCCAATGGTTCGCCATTCTGAGCCAAATGATTTGAGGCCACTCCTCTACAGTAAAATTTTTTACATCAATGTCTTGGTCTTCCAAGTGGCCTTTTACTTTCAGACTTCCCGACCAATATGTTGTAGAAATCTTTTATGTCTCCCCTGAATTTATATATCCCCCCATTTTATTTTCCTTGATTTTATCATTCTAATAATTTGTGCTATCTTCGTTTATTTTTCTATTTCTATTTTATTTTCGTTCAACAATTTCTTTTTTATTTCGTATTTTTCCGTCTTTCTTAATCTTTTTTGCCCTCAATCAGGACAACTGTCCTACAGAACAAGTTTGGAACCCAAGACTTCCCCCGTACGAAGCGACAGTTCTAACCACTTCATTTTAATGGCCGGCTGATTCCTGTAAGATGTCGTGCCTTTGCTAATGTCACGATATTAGTTGAGTTCATCTTTTGATAAAATATTCCTCGTTCCACATACGTTTATGTGGGATGCAAGAAGATACATGATTCGTATCTACCCACTGCTCTTTTAGCGTTCCAGTTTTCACCCCTCCCCCTCAAACTCCCTCCCCCCAACTTCCCGTCCCTTCGTTTTATATAAAATGTGTAATAGGGTGGTGCTCTGTGTTGTTTGCACAGCCACATCTAGCGGTACAGGCAGCAGCTTCATAAATAATTGATGAAACCAAGAAAGAATCTAAACAGTGAAGCAAATTAGAAACACAGAGAGCTGCATTATATGATAGCGCTTGTATCAACTTTTTCCAGCAGCGTTCTACGTAATATGTATGTACAGTCTCGTGAAATATAATTGGGCTTTTCTCCTTTCTCTTCTGCTCGTTTTGTTTAGAACTTTCAGATCGCTGTTGAAAACTCAATAAAAAAGCATATAATCGATACAGACGCATAGGCCTTTGGGATGTTTCATCGGTGTATGACTTCAACTTTCGGCTGAGAGCCACGTCGAATGTTTGGATGTTAACCAACATTTCGGCAAATATTACATTTAGCATTTTCGAGGTGGGAATGAGGTGGGGCATAGCTAAACCCACCTTGAAAATGGCAACTGCTGTGTTTGCCGAAACGTTGGTTAACACCAAAACATTCGACGTGGCTCTCAGCCGAAAGTTGAATTTCTGCTTTGGTATATGGCTTAATAACAGGGGGGAATTTCTGAGAAGAACTTAGGATCCGACGTCTACATTATAACGTTACAAAGGACTCTAAATTAATTAATAATTTTACAACTTGGTGATATAATGATTCATAACCATACATTGGAATGCATTAAATAACTTAAGTACGTCAGCTGCAACGTTTCATGTACACAGATACAAATTATTTTGTTACTAACCGGCATACATCTCAAAAGCTTAGAGGCACAATACATAGAAACTCACTCAAAAGAACAATGAAGAATACACTTCTTTAATTACATAAAGATATGGGATTACTAGCGTTAATTTGTGGGTCAGAAACATGAACTCTAACAAGGCGACAAGCGAAATTGAGGAAACAGCTAGCCGCGTTAGCTGGTTAACCAGCTAACGCGGCAGATTGCTCGAGAAGATTTTATTGATTGAACTCGCCGCGAAAGACTGAAATCCTATATCATTAAAGGGATCGGAGAATAATATAAAAAGGGGGCTAAAAAGTATTAGATTTCCAGACCGCTTGATGGTCTGTAGGCAGACAGAGATTTTACTTAAATCAAGCTTTTGGAAAGTTTTCCAGCTGAAAGCCAGTGTTTCACTCCACAGGCTTGCTGAGCAAAATGTAGTCTGCGGTGTCTGACTCTTCCAGAATTCTGCCTCTCACCTTGCTGTACTCATTTTCATCACTAATTTTACGTCAGCTCCGAGTGGTGGTACATCTGGTAACCGCATGGTGTTCCTGAATGCCAGAAAGCGTGCAGTGCAGGGGCCGCGGTCCAAGAACAGGCTACTCAATGCCGAAAGCTAGGGACATTTTATCAAGTACAGGAAACGTTGACTGAATTATCGCGTTATCATTTTATGAGCCTCAACGCACAAATGAGCGGACCAAGACATTATTTGTATCTAGCCACATCATAAAGACGAGTCTGAATCTTGTAGTCTACCGAAGTCGAAGATAAAAAGAAAGGTGTACGGACAAGGAATAAGAGAAAGGAGCGATGGGGAGAATAAAATTTCAATCTTCACATTTATACATCCTCTTTGTCTAAGGTCAACATAAATATTATCTTGCAGTACAGACCGAGATCTCCCAAGCGATCTTCAATTCCTCCATGTAAATCTTCCAAATGCCAGAAACTATTTCAGATTTTAATCTGTAGACCTACTGTGTCTTACTTTCTTGAGATTAAATATTTCTATATGAAAATATAGCTGATTTATTTACTTTTTGAAATCCTCACATAAATTTGCGAACTCCAGAGTTCTCATCACCGCAGTGATCTCTAAAATATGTACTTCATAATTTGTGTGCTGACCGTATTGGCTGGTGACATTGTAAAACCTTTTAAATAGCCTCTGAGAACTGTAAAAGACTGGTCTTGATTCGTCTGACGTTGTTATGGAAGTACTTGTTCTCCTCCTACTTTAATAAGATATTTCCAAATAATAAAAATGTGATAAATATCCACATATAGGACTTCTAACCCTAAGTACGAGTAGTTTGCGTATGTTTAATGCAGTGACCAATTCTTAGTTCTTAAATAGCTACTTCCTGGCTTTATAATCTATATGTAATATACCTATAACTAGAAAAAGCTCCTGTCGGTCGGTCTTATAATACACTTGTTAACCTTAAAAATCCCACGGTAACCATATATACCACCTGCTTTACCAATCAATAACTTTGAATTTTGCCCACGGACTGTATCTAAGATATCTAGACTAACCAGCGATTAACTTTGGCATATTCCCTTAAACACCGTCACGCAATTATCTTTATAATTTGATTTCATTGAGTACTGACCTTGAATCACTTTAGAATGACATAGGGCATTTCAAACTCATGTAAAAGCATTACTAAATAAACGGAAATGTTTTACGTTTTCCTTGTGGGAACAAATGACATTTTATGTATTAGCCAACTGAAACGAGCTTCGGCTTCAAAGATTGATAGACGAAACGTTCTTAATTTGAGAGCCGATCGAAATAGTAACGGAATAACTGTGCAGTTGAGTAGCCGCGCCCAAGATCAAGAATAACTCCGAGTGACAAGTTGGAGGGACTTCCCCTCGAATTGCCACAAGTCATCCGTACAAGACCTGCAACCCCGACACCGGTAAATCACAAACCGACGCTGTGTTACAGCCTACAACTTCTCTAATAAGGAACTTAAAGTTTAAATACTGACAACAGTTTCAGCAGTAAAGCTACAGCTGGCCACAGTATCGAAATTCTGCATAACGAATTTGCTTAAAACATTATTTCTTATTTCTTACTGTATTTTCTATATTTTTCTCTTATACATTTTTAGACATGTATTCTGAAGATATCAAATTCGTATCTCTTCTGCTGTAATGCTCTCTGAGATAGACCTATCACGTGCTATAGAATAAAGGAGAGTTTGATTGGTATTGAATTAATTTCCGAAACACGGCCAATGCATAGCGAGCGCGGAGCATTTTCTTGAGAAACAGTTGCAGATCGGTCCCAAGTTTATTTGAACTTTTCGACTCAAAATGATCCCAGCAGCACGCAGTTAAGCTATGGACATTCTGTTGCGGGACGCTCTGCATAATTTCTTATATGATGCCATATCAATTACAAGCATCGTGTAACGTCGAATGGGGCTCGACGGTACATCTGGAGGAAATGAAGATCACAAAATACCTGTGAGGATATCTGGCCTGCAGATGAGTGATACAACCCAGCAAACCTGCTCGGTTCTTCAACCGGGGCCAACATATGTGTGATGCGATGTAAACACCACAGACTCGTCAAGCTTCAACTGACGTGAATTCACATTTTAAATTGAGGAAAGTTCTCTCTCCAAGACCTACTCGTCTCTTCCTCTCAACACAGTCTCGCATGGAATGAAGTAATTAAACAATGGAATGTAGCGAAGTGAATGCCAAGGCATGTGACGTCATTCTGAAGTTGCTGTTATATATTTGAAGCTAACTCTAACGACTAATCTGCTATTTTGTTGTTAAAAAACAAGTAGGACTTAAGTCGAGAAAGATATTTACTAACTGCGTTCTTTAAGCATCACTCTCCTTCATGTTCAGTTATTACAGATATAAACTTTATTGTAGCAAAGCTAATTGGACTACAGATATCACAGCGAAGAAAATATGAAATTATTTGTCCTTCTGTGTTGTGTAAACACTTGCTACTCAAGCAATTGCCCTAAAAAGAACATCTGGTATATTATATTTTGTGGCCAAAAGTAGAAGTGAATTTGCAGGTTTCATATTTTATTTTCTAAAATATCGTCTATAAATTATATTGTTTTTCTTTCATCTTCATGCTTATGGATATCTATTCCAATTACCCTACTTAGATTTATATAAAAATGAAAGTATTGCCATGCGAGTAACTTATATCAAGGCTGCACGTTAATTTTTAAACCCAAATTATCTAGCTTTCCCATTCAAGTTACTTTAGTTGTTTTTTTAATATGTCATAAGCCATGTTCTAGTTCAGCTACGAAATACAATACCCTGCTTCATTTTACATATGAACTTTATTTTTTTTCGTAAAGTGGCTACAACGAAAGGCTCACTTGTACTGTCAATAATTAGTCACATTTTAATTGGCTATCATGGAAACGAAAATTAAACGAGAAAGAAACATCTTTAATATATAAAATTCATGAACAGAATAATAAACAAGTTCCATAATGATGTTCCTATTGTTACGCATTCAAAATTTGAATAATTGGGGAGAAAAAAGCATGAGTTTGTTGGACAGGTGTATTATCTAGACTAATTGGAAAACTCTCGAACTGCGTTATCACTTCTGTCAGTTTTTTCTAAGGTGCTACACTGAAATTTTCAACAATTTAGGGGACTCGTTAGTGGCCTGTTTGTATTGTATAATTTCATGTAAGCAAAAATAACACGGGTACAATAAAACGTCTAGAAAAGCAGCAATGAAGACTGGATTTAATACATAGAAAAGTACTTCCAGGAAATAAACCATATGAACTTTTTCCACAATAGGTTTTATATATATAAAAATATTCTTCTGACATTAGTCTTCCATAACAAACATGTAATTTTTGTTACTGTACAGTCACAAATAGTTACCATTAACTGTTTAATTATGGCAGGGCATTTCTGCAGTTGAAATTCTCAAATACAAAATATAGTTTGACCAGATGGGTCGATGTTTGTAAGCGAGATATCTCGCACAAAGCATAAATAGATTCAGTGTGGTTGTGATATATGAGAAATTGCCTCTGTTCTACAAAGTAAGTAAGCAACTGATCAACCAACGAAGTGAATATAGAGCAGGTTGATGGTGTGGTTATTATTATTAGTGTTCTGTCT